CCCCCAGCTAACACCACCTAGCAGCACAACTCGTAACTACAAAGCATGCGCGCGCAACAGGTCGTTTCCGGTTATTTTTGGGTCCCCTTCGTATGTAATGTCAAAAGTTAAATGTATTCCAGTGATGGTGTTAAGGACAGCCTGCAACATAATGCATGAATGTAAAGCATTGGTGAGATTCAAACTGCATTATGTGTTGGCGTGATACTCCAGTTCGATACAAGTCGACCAATTTGTTCTCACATGCAGCAACTTGCAAGCATGTAGCATTGATTTTCATTTGTAAAGCATGGCACCTAATTGGCACTCAGTTGCAATGTAAAACATTGTTTAAGTTTAAGAAAATTCTTAACTCTTCTATTCATACAGTGCTAGTGATGGTGAAAATATTTAATTATTCTTCTCTATTTTAATATCCCAATGGGAACCACTGCAGGGAAGAAGAATATCTCCTCACCTTCGTTATCTTTCATACCTTAGTGTCATATTATGTGTCATCACATGTTAGGAAATGGACTTGTCATTATGTATTTTGACCATTTTGGGATATTACAAGTATCCTTTCCTCAACAGTGGTATCTGCACCTTATCGTGGTGGTGGGGTTTGAGAGCTCCTGAGACCCTGAGAGCTATGCCGGCAGTAGCATAGCTACTGGTAGGGCCACCCGTGCCTGACAGGTCAAGGGGTAGGAGCCAGACAGATAAGAATACCCTGGTCCTCCAGATTGGGAGTTGGGCGTGAGGCTAACAACCTCACACCATAAAAACTAAATTGTTCAGAAACCCGAGAAAAGAGTAGCCGGATGGACCTATTCAAGACGACCTGGAAAATGTTTGAAGGATTTGAGAATTGGATCTTGGAATATATTATCTCTTTACAGAGCCGGAGCCCTGAAAATGCTACTTGAATAACTAGATATCACTGCTATACAAGAACTGAGGTGGTTGGGTAAAGGAGTCATGGAAAAGAGGGATCATGTTGTATTCTATAGTTGTCAGAAGAAGAGTCACATGTTTGGAACAGGTTTTATTAATAAAAAGAGGAAGCATCTTATTTTAGACTTCCAGGCAAAATCTCACAGAACATGTAGGCTATGGATTAAGGGAAAGTTTTTTAACTATAGCCTTATTTGTGTACATGCTCCAACTGAAGATAAAAGTGATGAGGAGAAAGACTCCTTTTATGATGAATTAGATGAAATATATAGCAAATGTCCAAAAAGGGATTGTAAAATAATCATAGGGGACATGAATGCTAAAGTGGGGAATCAGGATGTATATAGATTGGTTATTGGAAAACATAGCCTACATAACAAGTCAAACGATAATAAATGTTGCTTCCTCAAGAAACATGGTAGTAGGTAGTACAATGTTTAATCACCAGGATATACATAAACGAACCTGGAAATCCGCTGATGGAAATGTGTTTAATCAAATTGATCACATCCTAATAGATGTGTGGTAACATCCCACATACTTGCATGCTGTTTCGCCCGTCTAGTAAACAACACTCACTCCTAGGTAAATATCACATTGCCGCACATTGCGCTCATATTTATACAGCACCCGATGTCCAACCCACTTGCAGATCATCATGTGCACTAACCAATCACATTGCTGCCAACGCTCGTATTTATACAGCACTCGCCTGTCTAGCCCACCTTCACATCATCGCGTGCACTAGCCAATCAGTGCTCACAATCGCAACTGCAAATTTTGCCCATCAAGCATGGTATAAAAGGTGGAGCCCAAAGCTTGCAATCGTCAGTGATCACATTCAGTTCAGAGCGATCGGTCATCAGAGTCATCAGCTCTTCACTGCTACCAGACAGTTAACGTGGCTGCCGCAGCTCTCCAGCAACCTCGCTCTGCGACCAGGCAACTAACGTAGCTGCCGCAGCTCTCCAGCAACCGCGCTTTGCTACCTGCCGCAACTCTCACGCTCTGTGACCAGGCAACTGACTTAGTTGCCGCAAGTCTGCAGCGACCACGCTCTGCCACCAGACAACTAACACAGCTGTCGCAACTTCAGCAGCCACTGTAGGGAGCTGTTTCTACCAGCCAGACAGACGAGCTGAACGGCCGTAAAGACTTGATCTACTTGAAATGAGCAAATTCTACCAGCACACGCACGGTGCAACAAACGGCCCTTTTCAGGGCCCGCAAACTTTTCGAAGTGGTTGTCTATTGGAGTATCGACAAATCCCACAGATGTAAGACATTGTTCAGATTTGATGGATGTCAGGAGCTACAGGGGGGCCAACATTGACTCTGATCATTACTTAATAATATAAAAGATTAGAAGTTGAATATCTAATGCAAGGAAGATACATGGATCCCAGGCTAAGAAATTGAATTGTGGAAAATTGGTGGAACAAGGAGTTGCAACCAGATATACTGGATTAATTAGTGAATGGCCTCAGAGGTGTTATTATAAATGTTGCTGGTGCAGTCTTAGGAAGAATGGAAAGGATAAAGTATAAGAATTGGTTTGATGGAGAGTGTGATCAAGTGACAAATCAAAAATACCAGGCATATAAGAGAATGCAGCAAAGGAACCATACATGAGGGGCCGTGGAAGAATACCGTGAAGCGAGAAGAAAAGAAAAAAGAATGCATAAAAAGAAGAAAAGGAAATATGATAACCACAAGAACTGATTGAACTGGAGCATTTAAGATGTTCAAACGAAAGTAGAGCGTTTTATCAAAAACTAAACAAGAGTCGAAAGGACTTTCAACCTAGAACAACCTTATGTAGAAATAAAGAAGGCATGATAGTGAGTAGCAATGAAGCAATATTTGAAAGATGGGCGCAATATTTTGAGGAAGTATTAAATGGTAATGCCTCTGAACAAGCGGAAGGTATGACTATAGACCGGAATCAAGGAATTTTTGAGGCTGAAGAGCGAGCGCCGACCACAAAAGAAGTAGAACAGGCTATCAAAAAATTGAAAAATAATAAAGCTCCAGGAATGGATCGCATCATGGCAGAATTAGTGAAATTTGCAGGCCCAAAATATGCTAAGCATTTACATCAGCTAATAGTTTAGATATGGATAATTGAAATAATCCCAGAGGAATGGAACCTAAGTATTGTATGCCCTATCTATAAGAAAGGTGATGTCATGGTATGCTCTAACTATAGAGGAATTAGTCTATTGTGCATAGCATATAAAATATTTTCCAACATTCTATTTAACAGACCCTCTCCCTTTGTGGAAGGCATAATTTGGGATTACCAATGTGGGTTTCATCAAGGAAGATCAACTAACGATCAGATTTTCATTGTTCGCCAGGTCCTTGAAAAGTGTAATGAATTCCAAATTGAAACACATCACCTTTTCATTGACTTCCGATCAGCCTATGACTCCATAGATAGAGATAGTCTTTTTCTGGCCATGGAAGAGATGCACATTCCATGGAAGTTAATCACCTTAGTCAGAGCCACTATGAGAAAGACCCAGTGCCAAATTAAGATTCAGCCCTATAATATAATTGGTAGAACACGAAAATCTATGAAAGAAGCTTTTCTTAATTTGGAACAGCAAAAAATCTGAATCTATAAATTAACCAAAATAAAACAAATTACATGCCGGTAACCAAATAAGACTGTGCTAATGGACCTACATATATTGAAATTGGCTCATATAAATTTGAGGCTGTATGTAGTTTCACTTACCTTGGATCAGAAGTTAGCTGTAAAAATGATATCAGTGATGAATAGGGCCCGGATTTTTATGACCTAAAAACTATAAATATATGCATGCACTTATGACCCAAAATTATGTCAAATATGACCTAAAAAGTGTAAAATATGACCTTAAATATTAAATGGGACATAAAATTTCACAATTTTAATTACAACTTTTACTAGAGTTTAAGAATAAAGATGATGAATATATGA